CCTGGCAGCCACCTTAACCAAGTGATCAAAGTTAATGGACCAGGAATGGACCAAGTCAGCATCATGTGCCTCTTGATATAAGGCACTGAGGCAGACACACTATATCTGTAATATTCTTGCCAAAAAATGTATAACCTGACTTTAGTCATGTGAAAACATGAGACACCTAAAATAAGGGACATTCTACAAAATAGCTTAGCAAGTACTTCTTCAAAAATGTCAAAATCAGACTTAAAAAGACTAAAGAGGCATAATGACTAAGTGGAATATGTGATTCTGGGTTGCACCCTGAACCACAAAAGGGAGATTTATAGGACAGCTGGTGAAATTTGTATAGTATTGTACCAACATTAATTTCCAAATTTTGATTACTGCACTGTGGTTATATAACATTTGAGGAGTTGGGGTGAAGGGTATATGAAAATTCTTTGTACTCTTTTTTTTTTAATATACTTTATTGATTTTTTACAGAGAGGAAGGGAGAGGGATAGAGAGTTAGAAACATCGATGAGAGAGAAACATCGATCAGCAGCCTCCTGCACATCTCCCACTGGGGACGTGCCCGCAACCCTGGTACATGCCCTTGACCCAAATCGAACCCGGGACCTTTCAGTCCGCAGGCCGACGCTCGATCCACTGAGCCAAACCGGTTTCGGCTCTTTGTACTCTTTACAACATTTTTGTAAGTATGTAATTAATTCAAAATGAAGTTTAAAAAAATTAGCCCTAGCTTGTTTGGCTCGGTGGATAGAGCGTCGGCCTACGGACTGGAGGGTCCCAGGGTCGATTCCAGTCAAGGGCATGTACCTTGGTTGTGGGCACATCCCCAGTAGGGGGCGTGCAGGAGGCAGCTGATCGATGTTTCTTTCTCATTGATGTTTCTAACTCTCTATATCTCTCTACCTTCCTCTCTGTAAAAAAAAATCAATAAAAATATTTTTTTAAAAAAATTATAATTGTAGTTTTCTGGCCAAATGAGAAAACTCCCAAATTGATTTGGCTGTGTAATAAGCTACTAATTACTGTTACTGATGGAAACTGCCTAATTTCCAGGCCACATAATGAGGAGTATTAACATAAATTTAGTGGCTTAAAATACCACCCGTTTATTAGTTTGCAATTCTGTAGGTCAGAAGTCACACAGCAAGACTGAATTCTCTGCTCAGGGTTTCATGGGGCTGAAATCAAGATGTTGGCTGGGCTGAGTTACCATCAGGAGACTCTAGAGAAAAACCTGCTTCTGAGCTCATTCTCATTGGCAGAATTCAGTTCCTGTGGTTGTAGGAATAAGGATCCATTTCCTTGCTGGCTGGCTGTCAGCAGGGGCTACTATCAGCATCCAGAGGCTGCCTGCATCCCTTTATTTTATAGGAGAATCATCAGTGTATGCTAAACTTAGTAAAATATGATAAGAAACATATGATATGAAAATAAAGATGGCTCCTCCATCTTTAAATCAGCCAGGCTGAGTCCTTCTCATGCTTTGAACTCTGATTTCTTTCCAAACCAACCAGAGAGAACTCTCTGCCTTAAAGGACCCAGGTCACTAATTAGGAATCTTAATTACATCTGCAAATCCAGCAGTACTTAGATTAGTGTTTGACTAAATACTAGTAACTGGAAAAACTGCATGTGCAACAGGCCCGGGAATCTTGGGGGCCATATGAGAATCCTGCCTACCACAAAGAGTAATTTCTTAAACCAAATGCATGGATATGAATTGGCAAGCAGCTATGAGTGGGGGAGTGGGAAATGGACTGCAATGAGGACATGGGCTGCCCAATGCCTCCTGAGTCAGTCTGATCTGACTCAGCTAAAGGTTGATTCTCAGAGAGGGATTCCTTTCCCTCCTAATAATCCTCTTATTTATTTATTATTTTTATTTTTTTGTTAATCTTCATCTAAGGATATTTTTCCATTGATTTTTAGAGAGGGTGGAAGGGAGGGTGAGAGAAAGAAACATCAATGTGAGAGAGACACATTGATTGCTTGCCTCCCACACATGCCCCTACTGGGGCTGGGGATCGAGCCTGCAACTGAGGTACCATGCCCTTGACTGGAATCAAACCCTTGACTCCTTAGTCCATGGGCTGACGCTCAATCCACTGAGCCAAACCGGCTAGGGCAATCCTCCTCTTTAAACTCTACTTCTGGGAAAACCAAGATAGCGACATAGGTTAACGCCAGAGATTGCTGCCTT